AACTTGTAAATCAACCAAGCAAGGACTTTTGGGGATAAAAGGGGTCCCAAAGCCTGTCCACTCTGAGTCATCTTTGGATCCAGACTTGGCGGCTTCCGTCCCTCTAGCTAGTGCCTGGCAGCCTAGTTGGGAAGGACGTGGGTAAGTGTGGATGAGCGTGTGTGTGTGTGGATGAGAAAGAACAAATGTACCTTGCAACCAGTAAAGTTTTGCTGTTACTTTAAATTCACTGGGTCTCTGTGTATTACAAAGAACCTCTTGTGCCTCGTGTTTGGTTGGAAGTGATTTGTGTGTGCCTCTAAATATTTCCCGGCTGTTGACCAGGGCTGTGTGTCTTGTCTGCTCTAGCAGCACCTATCTGGAAAACCCAGGTAGAAAGCAAGGGGGGCTGACAAGATCTGCGTGCCTCAACAGGCTACGAATGTGTGAGTGAGTGACCATAAGCCGAACTTGGGAGCAGCATGTGTAACAGAGACCATGAGTTCTAGTCCTGCCTTATACACAAAGCCAGCTGGGTGACCTTGGGCCAGCCACTCTCTCTCAGCCCTAGGAAGGAGGCAATGGCAAACCACTTCCAAAAAGCCTTGCCAAGAAAACTGCAGGGATTAGTTCAGGCAGTCGCCAGAAGTCAAGACTGACTTGAATATACCCCAAAACCAAAATATAACAAAAAGATTTCAAGAGAAATATGTAACCATAATATTATTTCGTTTGGGGACATCAATACCATTCACCATACCCCTCTATCCTTGCAAACCATCCCTGCTTTTTTTTTGAGGATCTCACCAACTCCATCCATCAATGACTTTTTAGTCTTGCTCTTTCTCTCAATCCATTTGCTCTTATTTCAATATATTTTGTTTTGCAATTTGTCACATATTTGCTTTATATGATGAAACCATGTCCGTGTTTCACAGTGGTCACTTACTTTGTATTCAATCTACATTTATTCATCACCCATTCATTCTTGACCCTGTCTCTTGTTTTACCACACACACTTAAGTAACCCATTCCCACTTCATTTAATCTATTTACCCAACCCTCACATTCATATAAAAAACTAAGCTTTCTCATTGTAGTTTTGTCAAAATTCTTAAGCCGAAAAACAGTGAATGGAGAACTGACATACATTTTGAAATAAAATACATCTTCTTATTTAAAAAAAAGTACCAATATTTTAGTTACCTTAAAAAAACTTCCTCTCTCATCAAGGGTCTGGGATTCCATGGTAGACGTTGACATTTTCTCTGGGAAAGCTGTACTGAACTCCTCCTAAAAACAGAGGCATATTTAATGGTTACTCCGGGCTGTAGGAAATTCCTTTGCAAGCCACAGAGACAGTCACAACAACAGTTTTGCCAAGCTTTTTTCCATTAACAACACAGTACCATTTTTTTTTCCTACCAGAGCCTTTAATGTATCTTTTTGACCTATTATTTCCTGTGAATCACACTTTAAAGACAGTGCTACTGGCATTTTCCCCTCTTCTCAAACACACCCGTACATTGTTTTTGATGCATTTTAACAGGCTCATTGTGAAAGAATACAAAGGCTTAATAGTTGCCTTTGTATTCTCAATCTCAGTCTAAACTGAATAAATACAACAGGGTTACTAAAATCCTACATGTGATACAACAGAACCTTTTCCAACCTGGTGTCCTCCAGAAGCATTGGTCTACATGTCCCATTACCCCCAGCCAACAGAATAGGAAAAATTGTACCTAGAGAGGGACATAATGCAAGTTACTCAAAAAATACATGTGATGTTCAAAGAAAGGTACAAGGCTTGAAAGCAGATACTAATGTCAGACCTTTAGCATTGAAATGCTACACTTGTACATCCTTAGCTACTTCCACTGCAAATTCTCTGGCAAACAGACTTCTATTGCTTATCTAAATGAGGCTTTTAAAAACTCAAACAAGGATTTGAGTTTGAATATCTCAATCCATGAATATATGTTTGTCCAGGAGACTTAAAAGCATCTGGATTTCAGTAATAATTTTCCTTCAGGCAGAAATTATAATATGGAGATAATACTAGGTCATTATGCAAAAAATCAGAAGAAGTCTGGCAGCACCTTTTCCAACTAACAGATTTTATTGAAGGCATAACCTTTGTGAGCTGCAGCTTATTTCATCAGATTCCTTCTGATATTTTGCCATTATAGACTAACAGGCTCTCCTCCTCCAGTGTCACTGTGCAAGGAGATTGCAAGGATTACCAATATAACATCTCAGTGCTAGCAAACCATTACTGTTTATAACAAAATAAAATTTAAAAACCTATTCTCTATTCCCATGATCTAGTAATTTCTTAACAATCTCCAGGTACAGCAAAAAATGTTCTTATTTGAATTTATACATGGGGGTCATAGTTAACAAAGATACCTAACTGCTACGTCAAAAACTGTATTTAAATGCCATGCACATATCCCTGTGTTGCTTAAAATGGCATATCTTTATTTTACCCTTGACAAATTTCTTTTGAAATCATTTCTTTTGCAGCAATCAGCTGACAGCCTAACTCAAGCAGAGTACTGATATAGTTTCACACAAGATTACTTTGAAATTCAGGAGCCAAAATACAGGAACTGTCTATGGTGCCAATACTTAGCAAATCTCTTAATTCAAATGTTGCCATTGTGTTAGTCCAGCTGTATTTGTAAAGGACGAGATTTGTAGGGCTTTGGGGTGGGAGGAGTTCAACTTCTGCAAATGTTAAGAGATTTTGTTCATTTTTACAAAATAGAACAGGCAGTGCGTTCAGGCTCACTGATGGACAATCACAACACAATGCAATAGAGGAGGAACTTGCTAGTTACATTACTTTATGTATTCCATGCACTCTTCGCTGTGGAAACTTCCAAAATAATCTTTGACACAGAGAAATAGTGTCAAGTATATAAGTTGATGTACACATGTACATATTTTATGACCTATATTTATTTTTGTAAACCACCTTGTGATATTTATCTTTAAGAAGGAGGGGTACAGCTTTCCTAAAGTAAACTCTTAGCCCTTTAGTCTGTTTGCATTACACTTGTGTGATCTTAATGACAGAACACCAGCCAAGGGTCTCCAATTTCTGCCTCCCTCAGAACTTCCCTTACAGTAGTAGGGAGAGTACTAGTACTAGATGGCATGTTTGAGGCTTACACCCATGTTTCACATCATCACTTCCACAGTTTCATGTAATTTCTTAGATGCTCATTTCCTAACTCCTACATTGCAGTTTCTTCTTCCCCTCAACCAACAACCTGAACTTCTTGTAGGAACTAGTAATTCATAGGTTTTGTCAGCATGGTTTAAGTATCTGGATGTTCTCCTTTCATTCAAGGCATATACAAATTTTTATTCTTCTGTAGGTTTAGAAAGTACCATGAATACCTAGAGATCTTCACTTTATTTTTAGTTGTCTCATTACTTTTCCAAACCAATCACTCTTAGCTTCTTTATAAATACAGCTTTATTGGTCTTTCTAATGGCTTTCCAAAACTATTTCTTTCCCCAGAATAAAAACTTTTTGAAACTCATGTTTCATAGAAATCATTATTGGCTCAAGGAGTGGCGGACAACATAGGTAGCAAGTAGTAATTTTAGATATGAAAACCATGTAAGGAAGATTAATCCTGATACTCCAGTGGCATTTTACCATATAATCAAGGACCTCATCTCAATCTGCCGTTTCAAAATAGTGAGAAATTCAAAATAGTGAGAAATGTGACACAAAGTTTGTCCCCTACAGAAGAAACTAGATGACAAAAGAATAGTAAGAGAAAAATAAATTGAAGCCAGATGATAAGTAAAAGAGAATACTTGCAACAAATTGGGTACCTCTCAGATTCCTTGACAGGTTCAAAAGAAAATACCTGCTATAATACCTTCCTATAGGAATGTAAAAAGTAGCACAATCATACCTGTTCATATAGCTTAACATTGCAAGATGGACAATACCAACAAAAATAAACCTCCTTTGTCAACAACTCCATTTCCAATTAGATGATTTTTAAGTGATTATACCAACACAGGCAGTAGTCTTAATTAAGTGCTGGAGAAATGGATTCTATTTCTTTTACTCTAGAACAGCAGAACTGATAAATGCTAGTTGCTATCTCTATTTTCCACCTACATGCCATAATGTTTTTGTTTTGTCTTTTGAACAATTGTGGTTAATGAATAGATTCCGCTCTGTACCTTTTGTTACCTGACTCATCACATGGGAGTGATTAAACTCCCAGGTTGACAGTATCCGCTCTTCAAGAAGCCATCACTGGAGCTTTATGGTGTTCAACAACTACTATCAAGTCTCCAACCTCTCCTTTTTAGGGAAGGTTGTTGAGAAGGTTGTGAGACTGCAGCTTCAGAAGGCCCTGGAGGAAGCAAAGTATCTGGACCCTTTTCAGTTGGGGTTCAGGACAGGACATAGTACAGAGGTGGTACTGATTGTGTTTGTTTATGACCTCTATCAGAACCAGAATGATGGTGGTGAAATTGTCCTAGTTCTCCTTGATCTCTCAGTGGCTTTTAATACTATCAATCATGGTATTTTGGACTGACTGCGGGGATTAGATACGGGAGGTACAGTGTTTCAGTGGTTCTCTTCCTTTCTCCGCAGCCATTTCTAGTTAGTGTTGAAGGGGAGGAATGTACTCCTGATTTATGGGGTGCCACAGGCTTATGTTTCTCATCCTAACATTTAACATCCTTATGAAGCTGCTGGGGGAGGTCATCTGTCAACATGGGATCAGATAACATAAATATGTTGGTGCTGCCTAGTTGTATATCTTAACTTCAGGTTGACCAAGTGATGCTGTTGAGGTCTTGTCCCTGTGCCAGGAGGCTGATGGGGAGAAACAGGCTTAAACTTAACCCGAACAAAATTGAGTGGCTGTGGATTTCTAGTTCTCCAAGTATCATGGATTTTGCATCTTTAGTTCTGAATGGTGACCAGTCCCCTGGACAGAACTGGTGCACAATTTGGGGGGTCCCTGGACTTGTAGCTCCTGTTCAAAGTATAGGTAGCACCTGTGGCCAGGTGTAATGGGAAGAAGGAATAACCTTGAGGAACAGGAGGAAAAGCCACTACCAAGACAATGGTCAGATAAAAGAAACGAATCAGGGGCAGAACTGTAACCTGAAAAAACATCTCAGACAAGAGCTTCCCTAGTTCTCATGAAGATAAGGGGGGTGGGGGAGAGCACATTCAGACTTGCAAGATTCTGTTACCATAATCTTACAATAAAAGTAGTATCTGCCTGCATGACTTTGGTTTCCTAATCTGGTCTACCTTGAAGGACTGACTTCAGGGGTGGTTTTGCCCAGTTCCATTCGGTCTACCAACTGGACTGTTTCCTGAACTAAGAGTCTCTTCTCACAGTCAATCATGCCTTAATCACATCATGTGTGTGCGCTCTACATGGAATTGCCCTTGAATACCACTGAAACTGCAGCTGGTCCAGAATGCAGCAGCATGGGCAGTTATGGGTGCACCTTGGTACACTCATGTAACACCCCTGCTATATAAGCTGCACTGGTTACTAGAAACCAGCAATTCAAGGTGCTGGTTATGACATATAAAGTCCTCCATAGCATAGGGGCTGGCTATTTGACAGATCACATTTCTCCTATTGTTTCTGCACATCTGGTAAGTTATGACAGCGCATGCATGCTCCAGATCCCATCTTTAAAACAGTGTCATCTAATGGGACCTAGGTGGCATGATTTCTCTGTCACAGTGCCTGCACTCTGGAATCATATGCGCTCCCTGCCCACCCCACCCCCCCGCCAAGGTTCAAATTGCCATAACCTTCGAACAGACCTTTAAGATTTGGCTGGTTCTCCCAGTATCAGGAGTTCCAATTTTTAGTCAGGTGCTTGTTATAGTAGTTCCAATTTATTGCCTCTTTTATTTTTATATTGTATTGGATGTGCTTTTAATTGTAGCTACCCAGAGTCCTCCTGAGTTGGATGGCTTATACATATGATTTACGAACAAATAAATAAATAAATGGATCCCATTTTTTAAGCTGACTTTTTTCCCTCTATATACAAAAGTACTCTCTTTTTTGGAAATCTGTTTTACATGTTTGTTTTTATTTTTTTTTTTATCTGTGCTCAGTCGTTACCGACTCTGCAGTGACTGCTTGGACGAGTCCTTGCAGTTTTCAAGGCATTT